AGTCCTTTACTTTTTCAGCCAGTTATTGTCTACATCAGTGTGTAAATATTTAGGACACTGTTCGTATTGACAGTGAAATCTGGAATTGTTTTGCAAAGTTGGTTGCAGCATTTCAATCATGCTTAAAATTAAATTACTGATAAGCCATATCAGAAAACATACAAGGAAACAGTTTGACCAAATTTATTAATCAAACACCAAATAGTTTTAAAACCTTCCTACCAAAAATAAAAGAACACTTTTTCACTTGCTAATAAAAAAGTTGAGACATATTTAAAAACATAAGTTAAATCATATTAATTATTACTCAGTCTAGTCAAGTAACTCAAACTATATAACTCAAAATTACTTAATGTTTCTATTTTTTATGTTGTTTTCTATCTCAAAGCTAATCCATTAGCGTATTCAGAGATTATTACAAAAATGGCTTTGTGATGAGATTGAGATGGCGAAGGACAGTTGACCCTGTGGTGCCAAATGATGGCCTCTCCCATGTTTCCCCGCAGTATGATGCAACAAGAAGCCCTCACTATCTGCTTCCGAGTTCCCCAGCCTCCAGCACTATGAGCTAAATAAACCTATACTCTTTCTAAAGACAGACCGTGACACCCGGTTACAGCTTTTATGTCATTTTCCTTAACCTGCCTACTAAATACTTATCCTGGCAGAACTAAATACTTTTTCACTATCCTGTCTGTCCTTTGCTGCTGGGAGTTCTGATGTTCTCTGTTCCCTTTTTTCCTGGTCTTTTGGGGAGGGCTATTTATTTTATGTGTATGGATGTGTGGTGTGTGTGTGTGTGTGTGTGTGTGTGTGTGTGTGTGTTACATGCATGCCTGGTGCTACAGGGGCCAAAAGAGGGCATCAGATGTCCCATAACTGGAGTTTGAGATGGTTGTGAGCCACTATATAACAGTACATTCTTGTTGGAACTGCCAACTCACACATAATGATATGGAGACTTATTATTAATTGTGACTGCTGGACCTTAGCTTAGTTGTTCCTAACTAGTTCTTGTAACTTAAATTAACCCATTTTTAAAAATCTACATTCTTCCACATGCTTCTTACCTTCTGTCTGTACTGCTCATCCTGCTTCTTTCCTATCTGGCTGGCCACTTAGCCTTTCTTCTTCCCAGAGACCTTTCTGTGCCTGGAAGCACCACCTATCACTCCTGTCTAGCTATTGACCATTCAGCTTTTTATTACACCAATCAAAGCAATGCACCTTCACACAGTGTACAAATATCCTGTGACACCACGGTGGTGTCGAGAATCAAACCCAGGTCCTCTGCAAGAGAAACAAATACTGAATCATCTCTACAACGCTGCTCTTCACTTTTATAGAAACTGGGGGAAACAACATTGTGATTATGTGATTTAAAAATATGAAAAGGTAGATAGAGTTTGTAGCTTAGCACACATGAAGAATTAAGTTCAATCCCTTGTAAAACCCCCTACCCCCACCCCACACACCATTTACTCCTCTACACACAGTGGGAATAGCATAATGTTGCTATTTTACACTTAGTTTTCTATTTGAAAGCAAGCCCATTTTCTTTCACTAAAGTATTTATTTGAAAAGCACTGTTACATCAGCTTTTCTGTTTTGTTTTAGTCTCCATCATAGTATGCTATACTAACCATATAATCATAGAAAACTACATGTGCCAAAAACAAATGTGTTTTCTTGCCAAAGTCCATGTCTAGGTGTCAAGACAATACATGGCTAATGAATAAAATCACAAATATCTATAAACACAGAGTGTATCTCAAGTCACCAGGTGGAAAATGTAGGGTAAAGGTTAGAGAAAGTGTGATAAGAAACAGCAAAGTTTAATGAAACAGACGTAAACTTTAGTTTTCAGCATAAATACTTTTCATTCCTGAGAACAGTAAGAGGAAACAGCACTCAGCTTCTTCATATTAAATTCTGTAAAGGAAAGCACACAGAGAAAAGATAGCCTGATTCCTCTTTAAGGTTATAATAAATTTTAAGATTCTTATAGATGAAATTATCAGGAATAATGAAAATGATAGTACCTATGAAATAGAAGCTACAAATACTCATCAGTAATCACAATGTTCTTAGTGAATTGTCATGTAAGTGAGCAGGACCATCAAGTTCTGTCAAGCATAGAGAAAATAAGCATGCAACAGAAAAGCTAGCTCTGACTGTAAAACACCATGGGAGACAGAGGGCTCTAAAACATATCCAGGAAAGAACTGCACAGCTATTAATAGTCAGAGCGCCGGAAGAGAGTGAAGCTGTTATGCATCTATACAAAATCATGAAGGCACTTGAGCAAGAGGAAGATAGCAAGTGTCGAATACAGCCTCACATTAAAACCTGCTACTGGTACAAAGAAGTGTTAGGAGCAAGAAAAAGCTATTAGCAAAACTATTGTTTTGATGGAGAATTCATTTATAATGTAAGCAAGCCGAACAGAGATGTAAACATGTTCAAGGGAACAAACCATATTGAACAAGAAGATAATATGATTTTACTTTCACTATATTAAAAGAACACAGCACATAATATACTTTGAAGTAAACAATATACCTTATTCTTAAAGTCTCTGGGTTTGTAAAGTACCTTCATTAACCTAAGAAAGTATCCATTTTTCTTGAACAATAACCATTGTCTATAGAAGATAGACATCCTTTTAGACAGCTTTGGAGTTAACTGAGTTCATTAATAAGAATTAAGTTTTGTGATCTCATGGAGAAATAGTATAGCATTTGTGAAGGAGAATATACAGTAGTTGAGGGATAATTAAATTAGGACCCAGATTCTTGTATTGTTTTGAACTTCTAGCTGTGTGACTTGCAATCTCTCTCTCTCTCTCTCTCTCTCTCTCTCTCTCTCTCTCTCTCTCTCTCTGTGTGTGGGATCTCCTCCCCACTCTCTTCCTGTCTCACTTGCTGCTTCAGAGCTCTGTCTACAGAATGTATGTACTAATTATTCCTTCAGAGGAATAACAAAGATTAGATAGAAAACATTTCCAAATCTGGAAGGTTCTGGCAAATTGTTACTTCAGCAATGTCATCACTGAGCTACACAATGAAAAATAGATTACTTAGTGAGAGTGGAGTAAATGCATTAATGATAAAAAAAAACCCTCAAGTTAAAAGTGGTAGCATCCGTTTTCCATCAGATCCCTTCAGGAAATGTCCACAGTATGAAATGTTTTAACTTGTGCTGGCTGACAGTGGCGGACAGTATTGCTTGCAATCAGAGATAAGCTCAGTGGGAACAAAACAGCTAATGATTGGGAAGCAGAAATAGGACAGTAAACATTATGCAGAACATAGTGCTGTGCCCCCTGTGGGCACGCAAAAATATAATCCATGGTGATTGTGACAATGATGAACAGGACCCGGCTCTGCAATCAGTGTCTGGTGCCATTAAGGAAAAGCCATACACTTGGAAAGAGGGAGGATGTTGCCTCTGTGACACCAGCAGAGAACGTTTTCACACAAGGGGTTACAGGGCAGTGATTTGAGGTGAACAGGTCTTTGAGAAGACAGGAAATAGCCTGTTTGGTGACCCAATAAAATTTTGACAGTCTGTCATGAAGCCATTTTCAATTGCTGGCCTGAAACTTTATTTACATTTTTTTCTTAGAAGCTCCATTTTAGGGATACTAAATTCTCCAAAGGGTGGGGTGTTTTCTGCAAGTCATTTGTATTAGAAAAATGGAAAGAAGTTGCTTTGCCTAGCTAAGGTAAAGCCAGGAAAAGCTCAGTTTTCAAATCCAGACCTGAAGAAAGGTATAGACATGATACATAAATAAATGAGTGGAATAAAAAGAACTGGGGGGGGATTTCTCTGTATTATCTTTCCTCCTTTTTTTTCCTATAGTAAGCCTACAGCAGAAACCACTTTTCTCTAAATGAGCTCCTATTTTATCAAGGGTAAGCATGCATGTTCCCAGCCTAAGATATAAATATATTCACTTCTCCAGTGCTATTACTACTAAGAGAAATTATGCCCTCCAGTCTAGATAGTGCCATGTAAATAGACATGCCAGAGAACAGCCTTCCTTCCCAGGAAAACACAAAAGACACATTTGCTCTTATTTTTGCTTCGCCCTCACTTTCATTGTACTCCAGGAGCTTGGCCCATTGGTTAGTTTCAGATTTCTGCATCTGCTTCCATCTGTCCTTGAAAGAGGGTTCTAGATTCTCTGGGGGTGTGGATTATAGGTTAGGTATCTTTTGCTTTATTTCTGGTATCCACTTATGAGTGAGTACATACTATATTTGTCTTTATGGTTTTGGGTTACCTCACTCAGGATGTTTTGTTCTAGTTCTGCCCATTTGCCTGCAAATTTTGGATTGTCATTGTTTCTTACCACTGAATAGTACTCCATGGTGTAAATATGACATATTTTCTGTATCCATTTTTCAACTAAGGGTCATCTAGGCCGTTTCCAAGATCTGGCTATTACAAATAATGTTCCTATGAACATAGTTGAGCAAATGTCCTTGTGGTGTGAATGTGCCTCCCTCGGGTATATGCCCAACAGTGGTATTGCAGGGTCTTGATGTAGGTTGATCACTAATTTTCTGAGAAATCACCATACTGATTTCCACAGCAGCTGTACAAGTTTCCACTCCCACCAGAAATGGAGGAGTGTTCCTCTTTCTCCACATCCTCTCCAACATAAGCTGTCATTGGTGTTTTTGCTTTTAGCCATTCTGATCTGTGTAAGATGGAATCTCAGAGTGGTTTTGATTTGCATTTTCCCTGATGACTAAGGATGTTGAGCATTTCCTTAAGAGTCCTTTTGCCATTTGAGATTGTTCTGTTGAGAATTCTCTATTTAGATCTCTACCCCATTTTTTATTGGATTATTTTCTAGTTTGCTTTCTAGTTTCTTGAGTTCTTCATATATTTTGGAGATCAGCCCTCTGTCATATGTGAGGTTGGTGAAGATCTTTACCCATTCTGTAGGGAGCCATTATGTCTTGTTGACTGTGTTCTTTGCTTTACAGGAGTTTCTCAGTTTCATTTACTCTCCCTTTCCTCCTGCCTGGTATGGAAATGGGATACCAAGACAGGAAGCATCCATCCTGGAAACATGGGCATCATCTCAGTCTGTTTGTGCTGTTGTAACAAGCAAGAGAAATTCATTGCACTTGGATCTGGAGCATGGGCAGTCCAATATTAAGGATCAACAGACTTCATATCTGGTAAGACTTGGTTCTTAGAGGTGACAATTTCTCTGTGGTCTCACAGGACAGGAAGCAAGTTCTCTGGAGCCTTATTTACAAGGGTGATAGTCCCAGACCATAGCACCATCACCTCCAAAGGGTTTATCTGTTAAAAACAACACATTGATAACAACACACTGATAACTGAGTTTCTACACATCAATTGGTGTGAGAGGATATTCAAACTAGCAAGGGGGCACACTGTGTTAAGGATAGAGCATCCTTGACTATCTATCTCCACACATGGTATCCATGAGAAAATTAATCATTATTTGTGTTTAAGCCACTGGCTTTCTATGGCTCTGAGCAAATATGATTTAGTACAGGAAATACTACAGGAAATACTAATGTTGTGATATTTAAGTTGAAAACCTAAGATACTTGAAAACCTGTCTGAAAACGGACAGGCACACATGCAGGCTTTTACTTTGTCACAATTCAGGTAAAAGGAGACTGCCCAGGAAAAAAAAAAAAAAAAAAAAAAAAAAAAAAAAAAAGGGAAAAGCCAAGGGCCCCCAAAATCAAGGGCTCCAGAAATCCATCTTTAATCATCTAACAAGTCACCTGGAGTCCAAAATCTACCTAAGGGACACAATGCTGCACAACCATAGAGATGGCCCTAAATTTTTTTGTTTATTTATTTATTTTGGTTTAGACCAAGGTCTCATTTTGTGTCCCCAAGCTGGCCTGAAACTTACTGTGCAGCCCAGGCTGGCCATGTACCCATGGAAATCTTACATGTTCTCAGCCTCTCAAGTTATTGTCTTATCTTCTTAAGAAAACACTGGTTCTTCCTGGACCTAACTGGGAAAACTAAAGAGGAGCCCATATTGACTTCAAGTTCTAGTAGAATAAGACACAAATCCTCCTCTGGTAGAATTGTGGGAACCAAGTTTTCCAAGAGGCTATACAGTTAGTAGTCCTGAATCCTCACTTGAATTAACCTAAACCCTGCCTTATGTACTCAATTTGTCTTGACTTAGCAGGATCCCTCCCACTTTTATAAAATGTACTTTCATTAGAATTTAGCTCAGATTGTCTTCATTTGTTTTTTTTTTTCTCAATGATCTCTTAGATATTTAGAAGGGAACTCTTTAATTTTCAGATGTTTAGGATTTCCTAGCTGTTATTGATTTCTAATTTATTTTTGTTGCTACCAGTTAGCAATTTACAATATAAAGCAAAGTAAATTTATTGAGCATTTTACGAAAGATGGTTAATCTTGGAGATTGTCCCATATGCACTTGAAGAAAGAGGTTAAAATTACCATTGGATTTATCTGCTCCTTTTCCATTATTTTTACCAGGTTTTGCTTTGGACATTTTCAGTATCAATGTATTCTATCATTTAGGCTTCAGCTCTCAAGGCCATAGAAAGATTAATGTAGGGTTTGGTCTTGATTTCTCACCCAGCATTACAAATACAGCATAACCTCCTTAGCTTTTCTGGGTGTGTGAGTAATTGAGCTTTTGTTATTGTCTGGGGCACTCTGAAGGAATGAACTATTCAGCACAAGCTCTCTGGACGTCATTTATTCCCTGGGAACTTCAACTCTGTGCATGAAGGCTACTTTGCACACAGTCAATTTCTAATCAAGTAAAATGTGGATAGAAATATGTGACGAAGAAGGTAATTAACAATCAAAAGTCACAACAGGATGCCAACAATTCAGAGTGAACACAGATAATCTTTTGAAGAGGATGTAGCTGCCTACCCAATTGTCTCCTTCCTTGTTTTCTTCACTTAAAGAGCTCCCATTTATTTGTAGTAGCAAAGCAACTAAAACTCAACACCCACTTCTCAGGTTTTCTTTTTTTGCAGGAGTTTCTTTTATTTTTATTTTATTTTCATTTGTTTCTTGCCTGCAAGTATGTATAGATGGGGGTGTTGGATCCCCTGGAACAGAATTTTACAGACAGTTGTTATCTGCCATGTCGAGTGCTGGAAATTGAACCCAGGTCCTCTGGAAGAGCAGAGCCATAAACACTGAGCCATCTCTCCAGCCCTTTTTTGTTCTTTTAATATATATATTTATTTATTTTACATCCTGTCAGCATTTTCCCTCACTCCTTTCTTTCTAGTCCCTTCTCCCCCCTCATCTTTGTTCCCTCCTCCCCTTATCCACTCCTCCATTTCTGTTCAGAAAAGGACATGTCTCCCATGCATATCAACAAAACATCACATATCAAGGTGCAGTAAAACTAAGAATCTCCCCTTGTAAAAGGCTGGGCAAGGCAACCCAGTATGAGAAACAGGGTCCAAATTGCCAGTAAAAGAGTCAGAGACAGCACCTGTTTCCCCTGTTAGGAGTTCCAGAAGAAGACCAAGCGACACAACTGTCACATAAATGCAGAGTTGTCAGATTTTCTTAAGGCAAAGGTAACCTACAAACATCTCTTTACTCGGGAGATTAGCTGGCCCCTGCTAGGGATTCCACTGTAGCTCTGCATTGCTGACCCAGGCATCAGCTTTTCCTTCTTGGAACTGAGAAGAGAGACTGGTGGAGGACAATACTACTTCATAACTCTTCAGAAATCTTGAGGATTAAAAAAGAAAATACAAAAAGCAACTTCAGTCTATGAGGCCAATAACATGAAGCCACTTTATCACCCTTGCCTATTCATGCCCTGTGTTAATATATAAGAAAATGACACAACTGTTGTGTTTCTAATATATTCAGTTGAACAGAATCCTGATACCTTTAAAAAAGAAAGTCTGAGAAAGTTCCTGAGTCATTCAGAAGCCAAACCCACACTTCTGCTGGAGAGCTGTGCTTTCACAGTTTCTACCCTAGTTTCCATAAAGAGCAAACTGCAAAAGTTTCTGTGTAATCACGAGAGGATTTGTGTGGACTTTTCTCCATTATGCCTCATTTTGGTAATCAGAATTCCTCCAAAGTAGTATTTTTCTCTCTTTGAAATATCACTATTTTTTTTCCAAAAATGAAACATTTAAGTCCAGGCTATACAAAGGAAGATTGTTGACTGCCCTTCTGTAAGACAGTTCAGCTTCCTACAGAATTTCAAAGACATTTCCCAAGTGAAATTTGTACAAAATTATTTTCCTATCTGGAATCCTCCCAAATGTATTTCTGTAACTGCTTGGCCTTTCTGAGTTGATGCTATGCTTAACCCTTTTCTCCAAAGCAACTTTGAATTCCCATCAGTGCTAATCGTTTTCACATCGGCACCTACTCAAAAGTAAAATCTAACATTCATGTGGTGAGACATTAATCATCTATGAATAACCAAGCTGTCAGATAAATGCCTACAGAAGCACACTTCCCCACCTAAGGTAGACTACAATCCTAGTCAGCATTCTAGGATACAGCTCTGGATGCTCTAGTTGAAAGTACATTAAGTTGGTACAATGTTTCTCAGCTTTACTGACATAAGCTAGAATGTGAGGGTGTCTATCCTGATAAAACTTGAAAACAAAAATGGTAATAATGGAAAATACAGCTTATATGGTTTGGTCACTCCTTCAACTTGTGTCTAAACCAAGTTTTATCAGAAATGCCAAGGAACCCTGTTGAGAATGTGCACACAGAGCCTGTGAACTTAGCCCACCTTGCATAAAATGAACCATTTCCAAATACTCTTCTACCTTTGTAATGGATGTCAAGATATCTACAAACCACATATGACTGAATTGTTGTGTTGACTCTGGCAGTTGATTAAAATTGCAGGTGTGGTAAATGAGCAATAAGTGGTCTTTTATTTGGCTGCTGAAACTGACTGTTCTTTTCCAGTAAGATTTTCAGTACATTTTACCACATTATACCAATTGTGTTCACTTTAAGACATTATAAACAATAGATTGGACAAAATTGCCTCCTAAGATTTCTGTGCCTGTCACTTCTTAAGTAGAGATGGTTACATGCATAGCTCACCAGTTTTCTCCCAGATATATAAATGTGAATGAGAAAGCTACAGCAGCCCCAACTATTAAACAAGCTCACTATATTTGTACGTGACCTTTAGTTAATGATATAACCCGCTTCTGTATGGTCTGTCAAGCTCAGGATGGAGCATTTCTGCCTAAACCTCGAACCTCTTTGAGTGCTTCATGCTAGCAAGGGCCATCTGTTGCTGTCATTTCACAGCTATCAATTTCATTGTTATCTTGCTTCAAATCAAGCCTCAATATGATCAAGCTGAGCTTGAAATGTCCACAGACTGAATAATGTGCATAATGACACAGTTCAAACATTCTGTTTTTAAAAACACCAGGTCCATTCTTAAACCTGTGCTCTTTGTCTTCTCTATAGCGTCGAGGATTTCAGCTTATCTTTAGTTTCTGTCAGGAGTCACCTCCTACTCTATCCTTTGCTTACACTTCTCCAAACGACCCTATGCCTCTAAAAAAAAAAGTTTGTTTCTATTTCCAGAGTTTTCCAGGTATTCATTACTGTGAAGTCATAGCCTTCCAAATGGCTATGGACCTGTGTGAAAAAAATTCAAACCTCTTATTCTTCAGTCCTTGGTCTAAAGTGACTTAAATAAATCTCAGCCTGAAATGCTGGCTGGAAGATACTTAGATCTTAGTCCTTCAGCTTTTACTTGTACAGAAGCCCCTCACTAGCCTCTTCCCTTCATATTCTAACTCAATCACGTCACATAAGAGTTGCTCCTTCACCTCCAGTGGGAATTCTGATTTCAAAGAGCAATTACTCATGTATCTTCTGACCAGAGCAAATGCACTCCTCATCAGAAATCTAATTTCTATAGTGATTCCTGCCTTCAGAATCCTAACCCTTTTTGTCTTACAACCCTCAACTCCATCCAACATAGCTTATAGTGACACCTATGTTTTAATTGTTTGCATTAATAATCTGGTAGGATTGTGGGGAAAATCAGCTTGTAAAATATGAGAAATCTAAGGATGGCAAAGGCAGCATATGCACAAAAGCATTGGTGCCCTCAACCCTTTACAAAGTTGCCAAGTACTATGAATTCTTATGCTCTGTTGTGAAACTT